ATAATTTCACTATATACCACTGTGCTAATTACAATATATAACATTCCAATAATGTTAAAATGGGATTATAATATTATAAATTAACATAATTAACTCAAAACAATGAGTAAACGCACATGACAATTTAATTAGAAGCCTTAAGATTAAAAATATTAATTTAATCTTTAAATGATGATTAAAGAAAATGAAATTTACTATCATATACAAAACACCTTAATATATATTAAACGCAGATATGTATGCAATTAAATTAGAAATCACATGTATACATTCATTTAAAATTTTCTAATTAGACATAAGTTTGCGTATTTGTACTCATCTGGTTATTAGCAATCCCACTAGTAAACATGTATCGAGCCTCAAATCTGATACCTGAATCAAAGCAGCAACTTGTAAATGTAATGACACCAGACAGACAGACATTCAACACACTTCTCAATAAGAACATCATCTGAAAAACCAGAGAAAGAATCAATAATATATTATAACAATATTGAGTCAATTATAGCAAATTAATATCACATTTATATATATACATATATATATTTTTTAAACCTGACATATATATACATATATAGAAGGCTAACTTTATTCTGATTTTATAATTAATCATGACTAATTATTAATAAATAAACATTTCTCTGGATTAAACATAACATTAATACAACATAACATTAATAACAACACATAAAACTGTGCAATTAATAGTAATAATGAATGAACACAGTGTACCACATCAATTAAGATTTTAATCTCGCTACATATATTTTCATGCTGTGCAACACTATGTATAAGTGTGACATGATAATATATATATTTTCAAGTGGACTATCAGCCCAGCTAAATAATTAGACACCTGGCTGTCCAATAAAATAAATATTTACAGGTGCTGAAAGTTACACCTGAGACAAACATAAAGTCTGGCTTTGCAATTCACATTTTCACATTGTATATCACAGTATATGAAAATATTACGTTATACCGTACATTTTCAGATATATTATCAGCTCAACTAAGAGATAAAATGCACGATTTTCCAACAAAACAATTGTTTTCATGAGCTGACAGTTGCACCTGAGATTAAAGTGTACATACATGTATATATGAATGCATATATCAATATTTTCAAAGAACAATCACTATTCAGATTTGAAAACAGACTATATTAAACAAGACTATATTAAGCAGTAGAATGCACAGGTCAAAATTACACATTTATGTACATTATTGATATCTGTCACTCACATAAGCTCCTAACCTACCTATACTTTTCCTCGTTTGAAATGCACCGATATGACACAGGATGCAGTGTATAAGTAATACTTATACGCGCTTTATGCGGCGTCTACAATGAGATTTTTAGGCGTAAAACTTAAGAAATTGACCAATCACAGTCGAGTATTCTCTTCATACTTGACTGTGATTGGTCAATTTCTTAAGTCTTACGCCTCAAAATCTCATTGTAGACGCCACATTAAGAACCGTCTACAATACATGTCGTAAGTCGGATGTCGGACGTCGTCTGATTGGATTATTCTTTTCTAAATTTAACTGTGATTGGTCGATTTGTTTACGACTTGCGACATACGACTCTATATAGAACAGGCCTAACCAATGATGTTCGATATTCTTCTCTAAGGTCAACTGTGATTGGATAATTTCTTGCAGCCTACAACTTACAACGCCTATTGTAGACGGCCCTTTAAAGCGTAGTCTACAATGAGACCTTAAGACGTAACACTTAAGAAGTTAATCAATCACAATTGAGTTTATAAAAGAATCATGAATATGATTGGTTAATTTCTTAAGTCTTACGTTTTAAGGTTCCATTATAGACTACACTAAGGTGCGAATTCACGCTGATATATATAGTACTCCTGTATTGCCAGTTCTGTAGGAGGAACGAACGAAAACATTACAGTGCAGACGATAGCTTCCCTCTCGCACGGTAGCATGTCATATATATGCCATATATATATTTGACGCATGCGCAAAGTGCTACCGTCGGATAACCGTGCGAGAGAGAAGCTATCGTCTGCACCGTAATGTTTTCGCTCATTCCTCCTACAGAATTGGCAATATAGGAGTACTATATATATGATGTCGATACTCGACGCTCATTTCTGGCGTCAAAACAGATCACGTGATCAAAATTAACGAATTGATATTTTTATTTTTGGTCACGTGATATCTTTTGACGCTGAAAATGGGCGTTCGCATGAAAAGGCACCTTTAAGCGTGTAAGCGTCCAAAAGGAACGCATCCTGGTCATATCGGTGCATTTCAAACGAGGAAAAGTATAGGTAGGTTAGGAGATTATGTGAGTGACAGATATCAATAATGTACATAAATGTGTAATTTTGACTGACCTGTGCATTCTACTGTTTAATATAGTCTTGTTTAATATAGTCTGTTTTCAAGTCTGAATAGTGATTGTTCTTTGAAAATATTGATATATGCATTCATATATACATGTATGTACACTTCAATCTCAGGTGCAACTGTCAGCTCATGAAAACAATTGTTTTGCTGGAAAATCGTGCATTTTATCTCTTAGTTGAGCTGATAATATATCTGAAAATGTACGGTATAACGTAATATTTCCATATACTGTGATATACAATGTGAAAATGTGAATTGCAAAGCCAGACTTTATGTTTGTCTCAGGTGTAACTTTCAGCACCTGTAAATATTTATTTTATTGGACAGCCAGGTGTCTAATTATTTAGCTGAGCTGATAGTCCACTTGAAAATATATATATTATTATGTCACACTTATACATAGTGTTGCACAGCATGAAAATATATGTAGCGAGATTAAAATCTTAATTGATGTGGTATACTGTGTTCATTCATTATTACTATTAATTGCACAGTTTTATGTGTTGTTATTAATGTTATGTTTAATCCAGAGAAATGTTTATTTATTAATAATTAGTCATGATTAATTATAAAATCAGAATAAAGTTAGCCTTCTATATGCGTATATATATGTCAGGTTTAAAAAAAATATATATGTATATATATAAATGTGATATTAATTTGCTATAATTGACTCAATATTGTTATAATATATTATTGATTCTTTCTCTGGTTTTTCAGATGATGTTCTTACTGAGAAGTGTGTTGAATGTCTGTCTGTCTGGTGTCATTACATTTACAAGTTGCTGCTTTGATTCAGGTGTCAGATTTGAGGCTCGATACATGTTTACTGGTGGAATTGCTAATAATCAGATGAGTACAAATACGCAAACTTATGTCTAATTAGAAAATTTTAAATGAATGTATACATGTGACTTCTAATTTAATTGCATACATATCTGCGTTTAATATATATTAAGGTGTTTTGTATATGATAGTAAATTTCATTTTCTTTAATCATCATTTAAAGACTAAATTAATATTTTTAATCTTAAGGCTTCTAATTAAATTGTCATGTGCGTTTACTCATTGTTTTGAGTTAATTATGTTAATTTATAATATTATAATCCCATTTTAACATTACTGGAATGTTATATATTGTAATTAGCACAGTGGTATATAGTGAAATCATAATAATTAAATTAGAATGACAATTATTAATCTTTTAATGAACAATTAATAACTAGTAATAATTAATTATTAATTAATGTTAATTTTAAACAGACTCTATTAGATTTTAATGTATCGTGAATAATTTTGTGTGCTTAGTTTTAATGTATGACTAAATATTAACAAGTCTAATTTTACAATATAACGGATGTTTCAAATGTATGTAGGTATTTAGCTTGTGTCTTCTTTGTTTGTTTCAGGAAATTGAAAATGTTGATTCAAGCAAACCTCTAAGCATAAAGACGTCCTTGTCGACGGGAATTAAACAGTGACGAGAATTAAACAGAGGCGCCCACGGTGACATAATTATTGTTGGAATTAATTAATGCTTTTAATTATTTTAATAATTTAATGAATTACACTATAAGTATTTATAAAATCATTGATAATGTCAATATTCTTAATTTGTACAGAAATAAATTTTCAATGATATTTATAATGATAATATATGCTGATATTTATAATGATAATATATGCTGCCTCGTAGATGTATATTTACATCAAAATAATTATAAATTGTAAAACTATATTGTAAAACTATATTGCAAATATATTGCTTAAATCTCTAAACATTTATATAAATAACACAAATGCAATTGATACATTCTTTAATTATTTTTGAACCCGTTTTTCGAATCCACTTAATAGTCATAAAAATTTGCTCAAATTTGCAAGTCTTTAATAATATTTCGTCTGTGATAATATTTCGTAGTTAATTTTATAATTGATTACGCTTTACATGAGATGCTTGATGAAATCTGTCTAAGAAAATTTTGGCTAAGTTTTATCTTTAAAAATTTATTGAGGAAAGCTGCGTCATTGAAGAATTATTTTATTTTATATGTACGTTTATATGTCGATTGGATCATATTATATGTGAAAAATGTAATGGTGTATTATTTTTTGTATAATAATAATAGAGAAACAGAAATACTGAAGGATAAATAATAAATATATGTATAATAGGAATTGTAAAAATATGCAATTTATGTGTAGTCGCACAAACAGTATCATTCTTTATTTTCATTTAAAATAATTCAAAATATTTTTTATATATAACAGTGTATACATATAAGTATATATGTATGTAATACTTATATAATAGTATATATGGCATATGCATTGCACGTGTAATCATAAGCATTTAATATATATTTAACAAAATATATGACTTTGTACTATATTACGTATTTTGCTATATTTTCTCATTTTCTTTTTTATGAGATTCGCGCAACAAAACGTAAAGTTTTGATTGATTGTGTTGAACTAAAATTAAATAATCTTTTTTTTTTGCAGAAAATAAAAACAATGTTTTTGTGATTGCTAACAGCTTAAACATTAAACAAAAATAATTCATATATTGTTTCTGAATAAATTATTAAAATATTTTTGAGTGAACATTTGTCCATTTAATATCGTTTAATTTTGCCAGATATATAATTATGAAGCCATGTTTTAATTTGCGCAACAGATCGATTGATTAAGTATTTATTTTTTTCCTTTACATAAGAAATTTTTTTGTTAGATGGCAATTGTGAAGAATTAATTTCCTCTGAAAATTCTTTAATTACTGCAGTACGTTCTTCTTCTGTCCAACGTCTTCTTTTTGTTAAACCATATGGGGATGCTACAAAATAAATTAAATATTACAATTAATAAGATTATACTACTAAACATACAGGAACAGTTCACCCGAATTTATAATATAAACTTTTATTTATTTATAATATATATTAATGTTTTGAAATATTTATTTATAATATATACTAATGTTTTACTTTAAAATATTCCTAAAAAATATTCCTAAAAATTAAAAAATAATACATTAATAAAAAATATGAATAATTTAAATAATTTAAATTTAGCTAATATAGACTATTGTTCATTATCATTTTTTAAATAAAAAATTTATTTATTATAAAAATATATTTATTATATATATCAAAATATATATATCAAAATATGTTTATTAAAATGTATTAAAATTGTATCAATCTACATTACACATTAGAACTTATAATAATATATGCTTTGACATTGTTTATGTAAAAGTAAAACTAAATAATATTTAAGAGTATACGATCTTTTATAGATTATGAAAACTGTGTAAAATAGAAAAGAAAATAAACTTACTACTGCGACGTTTTTTTATGTTTGGAGAATAATTTTCATCATTGTCGTTATATGTAATTGCATGATTTTGATGCTTAATTTTTCTTTTTATAGATTTTTGTTGTTTATTTGTTATGCAAATTTTAGAAAATTTGTTTTTTCCAGATTGTACTGAAAGAGGCTCACGTGAATTTATCATACATGTTTCGCTGTCCGATGCTTCATTCGACGTATCTGTTCTTGTACCTTCCTCTTCTATTAATAATAATATAATACTACGATAATTGTTATATAAATATATATATAAATCGATTCATGAAACTAATAGCGAATTCGACCGCTTGTACACTGCTCATCATTAATTCGTTCCATTCCCCGAGTGAATTTATATAGGATATGCAACATATCTGAATTAATGACGGACAGTGTACTAGTGCTCACTGAGTGCGAATGAATATTTTCAATATCACATATTCGGTTTGTGCTCACAGTTCTAACGCATTCATATTGTTGTATTCAGCAAATGAAAAATGCTTTAATGACGAATTTATATTCGGAAATGAAAAAAAAACTGTACGAGAGCAAAAAATGTTGCACTGACTTTTCTGACAGTGCAGTTTGATACTGCACGGACACAGTTCTGCTCGCACCATGTCGAAACAGTACTAGATCAGATCAGTTAGTGCATGTATGCCGAATTCACTATAAGACTAATATGTGCTACAATCATAGATGTAGATATGTAAAAATTAAGCGAAGCAGCAATAAATGCAACAATATGAAACGTCTCAGTCTCTATTTAGATTTTCTTCAGTATATCATACTTAACATATTAATACTTTGATGAATGAAGAAGATCCAAATTAAGACTGAAATATTTCATTGTTGTATTCATTGTTATTTTGTTCCATTTCATATATATCCATAGTTATAGCACATTGAACTTTTGTAAACTAATTTATAAATGCATTTGATTTTGTTTTCTGATTAACTATATATAATAAAAAAGTAAAATACAGAAATTAAAAGATAATTTTAGAAATGAAAAAAGAATATTAATATCTATTATAAAAAACTTATGTAAATATATATATATATATATATATAACTTTGAAATATCACATAAAATAACAAAAGTAGTATAGTACATAATACCTGAATCGCTATTATTGGATTGCTGTTGCACATTTTCACCTAACGCTGCTTCAAGAAATTTTGTCATACGGATAATCTCTAATGCTGGTATTGACTGCCGGTAGTGACGTTTATGAATTTTTTCATGATGTCCCATAAAGTTAGCCAAATCATCCACTTCATTTTCAGATAAATTCAACGTAATGCATGTTGTAGCAATATGTTTGCGTAATTCAGTGCCTCTTAATGAATGTGGTATTTGTGCATCACATTTTTTAGAAAAATATCGCATAAGGACACATGCTCTTAAATATTTAAAATAACGTTTAGTATTACTAGGTATGCCGAACACATATGGATTTTTTCCAGGAACATTTGCATCCTTTCGATGCTTCAAAATTAGTTCAATACATTGAACTAATTCCATATCTAATATGACAGGCACGGTACGTCCTAATTTCCCACGAATTAAAAATCTGACGTATTTATTAGCAATCTAACATACAAAAGTTTATTTAAATTATTACTTTGTGTTACACAATATATATATATATATATGTATATTACGCACTACAATTTATGTGTATTTCATTTATACATAAAAATAATTTACCTGTTGCAAATTTGTTCCTAATGATTTATATAAATCTAAATAAGTTTCTTTTGTTATACCTTCGCGAGTATTAAAATCTTCTATAGTAACACGTTCAATTTCTCCTGCTCTTCTTCTGTTAAAAACTTGTGTAGATGTAAGTGTAACTTTTGCAAGTTCTAGCCATGTTTTGTACATAAATTTCTTCTGGAGCTTTGTATATAATACTTTTCTTTCGCTTTTTAGGTATAAATGTAGCTTTTTTATGTCTTCCATAGATGGAAGTATAACTTTTTTCTGTCTTTTATGTTGTGTTACATTTTCTTCTACTGTTTTGTTTATGGATATCCCATAATCTTCTTGTACTAATTTTAAAAAGTTTTCTGTGGTGTTTTGCTTTTCTACATCATTTGTTTTTATGCACTCACTTATTAACAAATTACCAATTTGTTTTATGTATGTCCCAATATTTGATGCGACTGATGGTGCACCATATTTTTTATTAACAGCATCAAAATGAGATATTTTATTTACTGCTTTAAGACAATCATCATACATGGAAGGATCATATATGTCAGTAAACTCTGTCACGTTAGATCTATACTCTTTTACTGCGATAAGAAACCGTCCTAATAATCGAAGTCTAGCACGAATCATATCTTGTTGATGTTGATGATTGTACTTAATGCATAGTTTGTTTGCATATGTTATTAATAATTTATCATATCTAATACATCGCGTAACATCATCTTCCCTCAAAATTGGGAATAAAACTTTTCTTACTGTTTCACTTGCACATTCATGGATTCTTCCCATCACAGTACGTCCTAAAACTTGTACATTTCTGCCGTTGGATGTGCCTACATCTATACATTTCTTAAAGTGATGTCTGATATTATTTTTAGTGAACCATCCTTTACACTTTGCACAACACGTAAAATTTTGTACTGTTTTACAACTATTTCTAGTTGGCCTTCGACAAACAATTAACTCTCCCGTGTTTATAGAAGGATCTGTGTTATGTATAAAATTACCCTTCCTCCTAATTGTTTCTATAATTTTTTTTCTTTCTAAATTACCTAGAATAAAAATAAAATATTAAATTATATAAATTAATAAAATTACAAGCATATTAACAATATTAATAATATTTATAAAAAATATAAAATAAAATTTTACATGATTTTAGTGCATATGAATTATATTATACTATGTATTCATGTTGTACATATATTTTAGAAGTATTGTATATATAAATGTGTATCTTATTGTGTATAGGTAGTGTATATAGTGTTTAAATATATATATATATATATATTATTTTATTGTATATATGTATATATAAATTGTGTACATATATTTAAAATTCTACAGAATTATAAGAATTATATAAAATATTACCTTTTGGTAACAATACAAATTTTTTAACTTCAGGTTCCGATTTATGTACATTTTCTAAGTGACGTGCAATTTTGCTTTGAAATTTTTTGCAATAGTAACAAAAATTCTTTTTCTGAAGGCCCTTAGGTATAGAAAATGGAACAAATAAATTGTCTTCTCGACAACCAAATGTGTTTATAGAAGAAATATCTATCAGTGAAGCTGAACTATTTTTATCAGATGCAGATATGTTATTTTTATTAGTTGTAGATATGTTATTGCTGACATCATGTTCTGTAGATTCTCTTTCAGTTGTAATTTCCGAAGGTAAATATTCGGAAATATTCGTTGTGTTTGCACAAACAATGTTGTCAATAGTATTATCATCACATGAAAATGTTATATGATTATTACTATCACTGTGTGTGTGATTCATAGAAGTTTCGGCACTAGTGAGATCATTCAATATACTAGAATTATTATCAAAGGGAAATATCATGACATCATTGAGAATTACACCAGTTTCAGAATTATTGATATTATCATTATCGTATGTGAATGTCACATTGTTACAGGAATTATTATTATTCATAAAATTATTAGTAGTAATATCATTATCTATAATGTTACAGTTGTTATTATCACAAGAAAACGTCACATTATTGTCAAAATCAGTGTCATTCGTAGAATTGTTAGCACTATGAACTATGCTACGATCTCTATCATTATCACAGGAAAGTGGTATATTGTCGTCATTCAACGATTTACTGACATTAATATCACCATATATCATTTTTTGACTGTTGCCATTATCATAGGAAAATGATACATTAAGATTAACAATCTTATGATCAACAATCTTTACTCTATTATGCTCATTATTACAGTCTTTGGAAAATATCATGGCATTATCACAATCAACATGTTTCGTAGGATTATTGATATAACTTTCACCATTTATTCTTTCGTGAGCATGTTCATTATCACAAGAATTCATCATATTATTATCAAAATCAGTGTTTGTAGAATTGTTGACATTAATAGCACTATGCTCAACTATATTATGACATTTGTTATTATCACAGGAATCTGATACATTGTTATCAAAATTAATATTCATAGAATTATTGGTACCGATATCATCATCTATCACTTTATAGCTATTGCCATTGCATTCATGCGAATTTATCATATTATTATCAAAATTAGTGTTATTTGAATTATTGACACCAATCGGCGAATTGTTGACACCAAGAGTACTATTTACTATGCTAGTATGATCTTTGTCATTATTGCAAGAAAATAAAATATTATCATCAGAATTATAAACATTCTTAGAATTATTAATATCTACTGTTTCGTTATAATTATTGCTATTATCACAGGAAACTGTTACATTAAAATTCACAGCCTTTACTCCACAATTTTTGGAAGATATAGCATTAACAGAGTCAACATGTTCTGTAGAATCATTGATATTCTTTTTATTATTTGCATTACTTATTGTTGCATTGTGACTATATCCATTATCAAGAAATATTTTATTGTTGTTAAATTCAGTTACATTATTAAAATTATCAGTATTTATATCTTTATTAATACAACTCATATTAGTATGGAAAATATTTTTTTGTGATATTACTGCAAACAATAGAAATATAATTAGGAAAATAAAAACATAATATATTACACATAATTTCAGAATTTGATAAAACTGTAAAACTTACTATTATTATTAACAATTGAATTTATATTTTCCAGAACAATGTATGGATTATTTGCATTCAAATTTTTAGCAATTGCAGAAAGATCATCTTTGCTTTCTGTAAAAGTAGAGTATATAATTACAACTAGAAGATAACATATTGCTATGAAAATTTAACTAAAAAGATTAAAAAATATGATATTGTGCAAATACCAATATATTTTTATAATTTATTGATATTAATTTATAATCATTTATAATCTTGTGTAATGTAATATATGTATATAGTAAATATTTATAATTTAATAAGGTTATGTGTTGCTATGCTCAATATACACAATATATACGCTCTTGCATTGGGAAAATTATATATTACGTTACATATAAAAAATGATACTTACTATTCTGTGCAATTGCATGTGTAATACATTTTTTTTTACGATTCTTATTAACCGTACATTTAATGTTTGTTCTTTTGTGTTTTATATTTATTACATGATACTTATGATCATTACAAAAGTATAATATATATTGTGACATTTTTCGTATAATGTGATTCAGCTATATATAAAACGAATGAAATGACTCTTAAACGAAATAAAATATACTATTAGCTAATATAATTAAAAATTAACTATCTTAAACATCAGCCATCTTAACTCGACACGAGGTAATCATAGAGCAATGAAGTAATATATTATAGATCCTGACCTTTGGATATCCATGAACAATAATTGTAAATAGAGAGATCCGTAATTGAAGAATATATTGATATTATCAATAATATCAAATATTTTACATAAACGTTTAAAAATTTGATTAAAGTGTTTTGATAGCGAAATAATTTACAATTTATATACTTCGATGTTTTGTGAATATATATGTCATTTTTGTATATCATTTATGAGGCAGTATTATAAATATCCTTAAAATTTGTTTTTTATGGAAATCTAATGTATTGGAATGATTTTTTATTTCAATAAACACATATAACTAAAATTCGTTAAATTACTTTATATATAAAATAAATAAAAGCAGAAATTACTGTGGACATTAATTATTTAAATAATTGTTTTAATGATTTTTCAGAACACAAAATCTCCTTTTCTGAATAGTCCTGAAAACTGCGAGATAATATACAATGGTAGTTTCCGGAACATATTTTCAATAAATTTAATAATAAAAAACTGAGCTCTTTGCAATGTAATATCTGAAAATAGAAAATGATTATTAACATTATTAAGGGACTTTTATAAATAGTTTGTATTGTAAGAATAAACGTATTTAATTTGTGTTAATGCAGAAAAATTAAAGGCTTCCACACAAAATCCGTAGCCATAAACTTATGATTGCTTTAATACTCGATCGTAATTGGCCGATTCGCTTATTGCTTACGTCATAGGAGTTCTGCCCACAGGACGCGGAAACGCTTGTTGCGCAGCAAAAGTTGGATCGAATTCGACATTTCACGTGCAGTAATTGTCTATCACGTCGCTTTTTGCCGCGCGGCAAGCGTTGACTACAAATGTAGGGCTAAATAGCTCAGTGGTAAGAGCAGTCACTCGGCAAGCGAAAGACTTGGGTTCGATTCCCGATTCAGGGACTTCGCCCTGATATTTTTCTCGCCCACGTCTCTTTAGAGGGGTAAAGAGGGGTATACAGAATTCTCGAAATGAGAATCTATATCTTGGTAAAATAAAATTTGGCTAATCTGGTCTATTGAATTTGAAAGGACTTGTAACCTTTGATTATTTATTCACAAGCGATTACAAAAAAACTCTAATCCATAAAAAATTTGTCGTGGATTTTATCAATATCTGATCATATCTTGCCAAATATAGTCATATATTATTATTTATTCATTTATGGTATAATCATATATGATATTATATTATATACTATATATGCCATGACATGATTAGATATTGATAAAATCCATATATGGTCAATTTTGTATGGACTTTTTTTCTGGGAGCATCACGCTTTGAAAATTCTGTAATATTGAAATTACAATTGATGAGTTAGTTATAGCATTTGGATGCGATCTAGTACGAAAATAAGCATCGTGTGTCGTAAGCTTTAGCATTAAAAACACAAGCATTGACTATTATTTTTCTAAAGTCCTTAGAACTGCCACATAATATTAAGTGGCAATTCCAAAGACTAACTGGATATGGGATAGGGTGAAAAAGCTGTGACCAATAAAAAATCGGAAGTCGCCATTAAAATCGACCTGGGTCTACATTAGAATAAGAAAGACAATAAAACAGACAAAGACAAAGACAATGAGATTGAATGATCTCGCGTTCTTTGTTTAGACAAACATCGAATGATCTCGCTGTTCTTGTCTGTCTTATGATTTTAATGGCGGCTTCCGGTGTTCTATTGGTGACGCTACGCGATCTTTGATTGGTGTATATTTTTAGATCTAAGAGTATACACCAATCAAAGATCGCGCAGCGTCACTTTCGCATACGTTAATTTTTCCCACGATTTCAAGAATAGGGCCCCAGGATCAGTGACAGTGATCTTTATACACATAACAGTGTCAATTGGTGTTTCAGCAAGACACTGTGTAAGGGCTAGAGTACAGACTCTTGCATAACGCATAATACATATACATAAAAAAACTGATTGGTCTATTTATTGGTCTATTCAATCAATTAAATTCATTATGCATATGCGTTATGTATTTATGCAAAAGTGTATGCTTTCCGCTTAACACAAGCTGCGTTCCGACATTTATCTTAGGAAATTAATATGTATTGATGTATATATATCATGAATCACATATATATTTCCAAAAAGGGATCTTTAGTAACGATTTCTATTAAATATAAACTTTATATATATATTTCTAATTTAATATACTTTTCATTAAAATATTTAAGTACCGAAAAATGCCTTTATATCAATTATAATATTAAAGATAGTTATTTTATGTAAATATATATAGTAGTATAGTAAATATATATAGTAGTATATATATTTATATATAATATACAATATACAGGGTGTCTCAGAGCACTTGTGCCAACGCTCGTGAGCAGGTAGAGCGCGATAAACTAAACAGAAAAGTCCTGTACCATTTTGCGATTTTCGCAATAATTATTAAAATATTAATCAAAAAAGAATGATATGATAAAATAAATGATTAAGACAGGCATAGAGAGCCGAAGATCATTATAAGTAACGAGTTATACAGATTAAAAAGACCAATAGAAAACGTTAATAGTTGAAACTTCAAATTTAATAAAAGAAAGATGTTTAGACAATTTAAGAGCGGACGTTTCGATTTGTATTTAAGTCATCTTCTTGAAAGAAGATATATAGATAGACATATAGCACTCAACATACGCTAAGCGTTTTTAATTAATATTTTAATAATTATTGCGAAAATCGCAAAATGATACAGGACTTTTCTGTTTAGTTTACCGCGCTCTACCTGCTCACGAGCGTTGGCACAAGTGCTCTGGGATATCCTCTATATATAACATATATAGTGAAGTATATATACAGTATATATGATTATATTCGAACATATATCCTAAACATGCAATTTTCCAGACAGAATATTATTGTTATCCTATTCTATTGTTATCCTATTCTTGTTTTGTTTACTGAATATTAGTACTAAACAAAGACAACATACTGGCAGTATTAGCAGTGAATTTTGAAACACGCTTAATATGTCTTATATTAATGTGTCTTGTGTGCATATATGTACTGTTTCCGTCACAATTAATATTCTATCTCAAAAATTGCGCATTTAGGATATATATTCGGAAATAAATATACATACTGTATATACAGGGTGTTAGATAAGTATGGGAACGGTCAAATATCTCCGAAAATAGTGGTCTTGTGGGAAAATGTTTCAGACAAAAGTTGTAAGGTCTTAAATGACGCATTACACAGTAATATTACTATGACCTTGAAGAGTGTCGTTAAGGTCACGTGAAGGTCATTTTAAATTTCTTAAATGGAACCCCTTATTTTTTATTGCATATTCGTATAGCTTGTCTTAAGAGCTTTCTAAAATACAGTAACTCACTATAATACAGTATTTATTCATTGAGTACTTTTCGAGTTATGAGGCTTCAAATAATTTCTTAATTTTAACCGTAAAATATCTTGTAAAATATTCATTTTTCGATTATCTTACCTTAATACTTTTATGTACAAAATAATGAGAGGAATTAATTGGTGTAAAGAAAACGCATAATTGTTTTTTAAAAAAAATGTAACTGTTCATTGCAAATTACATTTTGTTTTTTCGAAACAATTATGTATTTTCTTTACATCAATTGATTCCTCTCATTATTTTGTACATAAAAATATTAAGATAAGATAATCGAAAAAGGAATATTTTACAAGATATTTTACGATTTATGTAAAATTAAGAAATTATTTGAAGCCTCATAACTCGAAAAGTACTCAATGAATAAATACTGTATTATAGTGTTTTGGAAAGCTCTCGAGACAAG